TCCCCAAGGTCCCGGTTTTACACCCCTAAATATGGTATTCACGCCTGCATATTTTTTTGACTACTCATTGCTTATACAAATATTTTAAAACCCTAAATTTTACTTTATACTTATAACGCATCAATTGAAATATGACTCTTATTTCACCTTAAACGGTCTTTATTTTTTGTATGTATTGTTTGTTTTGTATGTGTTTGTATGAAAATAAATATTTCAATGATTGGCGATACCTACGAGTGAAATATAATAATTTTCATACCACAAGATGAAAAATAAATCCTTTTTTTTATAGAAAAAAACTTGAATTTTTCTGTTGAATATATACAGTTTTCTTTTCTTAACATTACAATTGATAGATTTTTCCCTTGAATTTTTTTTGGCTGAATTTAGAAGAAAGAAGTTCGGCAAGAAACCAGTGAAAATACGGAAAATATATTTCACTGCAGTGAAAAATTTAAAAATTTTACAGAAGAAAATACGGAAAATGAAAATACTCATTTTATTTTAAAACAATATTGCTCAATATTTCATTTATAAGTATATATAATAATAGAGGATATTGAATGAGTGTAAGTTCAATACTGAATTTATTGCACGAGTTGAATAAAATTATATATTTTTATTCAAACGAGTGCAATAAATTTAGTAATGAACTTACACGAATTTAATATTCTATTTACACATACCCAAAAATAAAAAGACTGTCTGGTTTAAAGTGAAATAAGAGTCATTTTTCATTGACGCGCCAATAGTATAACTTAAAACAGTCGCAAAAATCGGCACGGGTGTGTGATAAATTTCAATCTTATATGCAATATATATTTATTTTAAGGTACTTCTTCCGCCTTCATATTTATATTTCATATTTATTTTTTTAAAATATGAATATATTTGACTGATATAGGCACCATATTTCATGGGTAAATTAAATAATAAGAGGATATTTTTTTATTTGATGAAATATGGAATATATTTTCACGAAACATGAAAAAATACCACATATTTTACGAGGCCGGGACAGCGAGTAAAAAATGTGTGACACTTTATCATGTTGAGTGAAAATATACATAATACCAATATTTAACGAAAAACAAAAAAAATAACCTTTTTATTTAATTTCATTATCAAAGAAAAATGGTTAAAAAATCCCCTTGCTTGCTACGCACACCTGCAATTGTACAGCGCGCAGTAATATATTAAATCTTAATTACGCGCGATGTTTGGTTGCTACATTGTGACGTCACGTAAACAACTATTTAAACGTCTGCACAACGTTAATGACTGAAGAATTAAAGATATTGGTGTTCGATTTCATTTTCTTAGTGATACATTTTCTATCATTCTAGATATTTTGGTAGAACAAACAATTTTTTATTTATCAGATTTTTTAAACCAAAATGTCGAAAGAAGTCCCTTTAGAAAACATGAGTTTTGGCTCCGGCCACTATCATATTTATATTTCATACTTATTTTTTACAAATTTGACTAATATAGCACCATATTTCATGTGTAAAATAAAATAATATTTCGGTATTGTTTGTAAAGAAAACATTATAAGAACTGAAAATATGAATAAAAGTGCCTGTTATTGTTGTTTGAAAAGGCTTTGTAAACTATATAACCGAGGGTGAAATCATAACAGCCGCATTTACAAGTAGTCCCTAACCAGCGATTATTGGCAGTTTAACACCGTTTTTTTTCTTCTTTGTCTATAGTGACAAAATCAGTGGAGTGTTTTGAATTTGAATTTCACTCAACATGACTGTTCCGGCTCGTAAAAAATATGTTGCATTTTATCATGTTTCGTGAAATTATATTCAATGTTTCGTGAAATTATATTCCATATTTCACTCAAACGAATCAAACCGGTGGAAAATTCTCTCGCTTCGAATCTGGTGACGCGTATTTCAGATGAAGTGCGGGACGAAACATCATGAAATAAAATCCTGTGTGCCAGGAAAATTGTGTAGAAGGTTATTTTATGTACCTTTATACAAGAACATCACGAATTTCAGAAGAAAGGGAAAAACTTACTTTTCGGCTGCATCCGCCATCTTGTTTGTTTGAGTAACGAATAGCGTGATTCACCCCCTTGAACATACGCTCATTCAATATCCTCTAGTTATTCAACAAATTAAATAAATTAAGTGTTGAATCGGCACGAATAAAGTCCGAGCGGGGTCATAGGCCCCGCGAGGGCTGTAGAGCTCTTAGATAAATGTATGATGTGGATAAATTAAAGTCACATTCAAAATTATATATCTAACGAGTCTGGGAAAAATCCTCAGTTAATAGGGCGCTGCCATTTTGAAATCCTTTTAGGCTAGTACCATCTACGTCATCTAAGCCCCATCCCCACCCTTTAATCAAAATAGTATTTAGCTTTTCTTGATGTTGATGTTCTCGTGAAGCACAATTCAGAGTTAGTATAATCAAATTAGGAATGTATATTCTTCTTTAAATGTACATCGACCGAATTCCCTTTCTCTTTGAATGAAGTTTAAAAAGCAAAGGCGTCACATTGTATTTTCATTCAGAAGCTCTTTTATTTTCACCTTTTATTGCAAATTTACAACAGAAATAATATGTTTTCAATAGTCTCTTTACAACTACTATTTCTATTTTTATTTTATTAGCACAGCGTTACTGTCAGTACGTTTGACAATTTAAACCCTGTTTTTTTTCATTTATGACTTAAAACAAATAGAGTTTCACAAATCACAATGATAATTAAAGTGTATAAAGCTATGTTTAGATCTGCTGCAAAAGTTGTTGTTTAAATGAAAAAGAAAAACTTCCAAAATGCTTGTATGAAATGCTTATATGAAATAGATATGTTAGTAAATATCTTTAAAAGCAAATGACGTATTATAAAATCACTGCTAAATTGATTTATCCTTACATAGTTTGTTCTGCAATATTTTATTCTGTTTACGTGTAGTATTCAGGAGTATCCAATTACAGGGACATTCTATGTTAAAATCTCTTTCAAGCATCGACCATAAGATTGTGTTATAAATATATTTCATGAAATATAGCTTTATACCCTTTAAGGGGTAAACTGAAAATGGTGAAAATATGGTTTGAATAATAACTAATAACTTTTTAAATAAGTGAAAACTCAAAGTATGTTTGTATTTATTTTGTAAAGATTTAATGTATGAAAGTTCATTTCAACCATGGGCTTTTTTGTATAAAACCAATGACAATAATCCAGAGATTATGAAATGACATGCTTTTCAAAATAAAGCTATCTTGTTGACGACCTACATTTCCTTTTTTTAGCAAATGACTTACAGATTTGCTAAAGTTATTACTGAATGTGCTATGTAATAATATATATAATCTAGCATCGCCTTTCACATGGACACCTACAGATCAATGACAACAGTGCAAACGACTTTTTATCTAAAGGCTCGATTTGATATCATTAAGATTGAAAACTGACGAAGTGGTTTTTTCATGCTTTCCAATGTTTTATTGTAATATATCAGATGATTATATTCTGATAAACCACTAGTGAAATTTATAAAAATATAATTTTCACTGTAGCCGGACTATATCTGAATGTGGATGAAAAAAAATCATTACTAAATGGAATAACAGGCAGAAATAAATGCTATCATGCGTAAATTTTTGCTTCTTTAGGAAAAGAAAGTCGATGTCACCATACATCATGTTAAAAATATAACAAATTTAGAGAAATTTAACAGAACTATATTTCAAAATTGATGATGTGACGTCATGATGTGATGACGTCACAAAGGAGAATGCATGACGTTACGCGGCGAAATCAGTAAAAAATACTTAAACTCACTGAAAGAGCATGAAATAAAAAGATTTTTTTTTTGTTTTACATATAAGATTTAAATATATTTCATTCGTAAACACCAGCTATTATGTTTTCACTCGTGTGCATTTTCATCCAATTGTTTTGAATGTTGCTTTTTTTTGCATTACTCTTAACTACAAGACCCCCTATTTTACAGCGGCAAAGAATGAATATTTAAAGTAGAGCAGATAATTTTCTTAAGCTCTGCATGGTAAAATGGATTTTACTGAAGAAAAAAATGATAAAAACAACGAGGTTCGCTATCCTACCTTTTTAACCTTTTGATTAAAGTGCTCTTTTAAAAACTTTTTCTTTGGGAATTAACTAAAAACTGCCAACATTTGCTAAAATTCTATGAGAAAGATTATATTTTTAAAGGTTTAACTTTTAAAAGTCCTATCATCGTATGTGCTTTCTATTTTATAAAGTTTTTATCATTTTCATATCAATCTTTAACTATTTTAGTTGTTATTCTATTAATAAGTTGTTGTATTATGTTTATGATATGTTATGTGTATATAAACAAAACTCTTTTTCATTATAGATAATGTTCAGATACCAATGAATAAGCCTATAATTACATGATGAATGATGAAATTCAATATAATGAGTGTATTTGTTGTAGAAATTCTTGCGACAGGCTCACTGGTCGTGGTAGTAGTATCAGCAGTTTTTGCTGTAGTTTTAATAGTTCCCGTTGCTGAAGGAGAGTCTGTCGCTTTGGTAGAAGTAGCGGCTGTCGATAAAGTTTACTGGTCGGTCGTAAAGTAGCGGCTGTCGATAAAGGTTTACTGGTCGTTGTTCGTAGAAGTAGCGGCTGTCGATAAAGGTTTACTGGTCGTTTTCGTAGAAGTAGCGGCTGTCGGTAAAGTTTACTGTTGTCGTACTGCGGCTCGATTTACTGTCGTTTTCGTAGAAGTAGCGGCTGTCGTTAAAGCTGTATTAGTTGCGGCACAGGTTTGGCAACATTTCGAAAAATCATTGGTGCAATGACTCTGAGTACAGTCAGTATATTCATCACCCCAAGGACAGCCTGAAATAAACAATAGTCAACGAAACATAATACCTTGATTTACCTATAATATCTTTTTAAACTCTATAGCAATTTTCAATAACACTAGTTTACATTTCAATTGTAAAGTTTCTTTACAACTTGTCGCAATCGCGGCATTAGGATGTGATAAATAGAGGATATTTGCTGAGTGTAAGTTCAATACTGAATTTATCGAACGAGTTGAATAAATACGAGTTGAATCCGAGCATATATTTTGGTGTGACGATTGTAAGATCTGCTTACATGTATTTGCGTTTAGATTATGTATTGTAATCTTTTTTTTCTTCTTTTTTTGTGAACAAGGATCTTTGCTCAAGTCCGAAAAATATAGATAAAATTAACATTTTGTTCTGTAACGTTTATTTATATTGAATGATTATACGAGAATATTTACATTACCTTAAATGAGAGGGACACAAATATGGATATATGTAATTATTTCTAATGGTAAACACGTGCAAATATTTTGACGTGACGTCATTTTCATTACATAATCATAGAGTTATGACGCGCACTAAAACGTTAGCGTTTTACTAATATAGGCCTGTCAATGAAAAACTGATTCTTTTTCACTCCGAACGATCTTAATTTGTGGTATAAGATAAATAGAATATTAAATTCGTGTAAGTTCATTACTTAATCTATTGAACTCGTTGAATAAAATAATGTGAATAAAATAATATAATGCTTGCCAGAGGCTAGTTTAATATATAGAGGATATTCAAGTTTTTTTCTGTAGAAACAGGAGTGTTATGAAAATAAAAATTTCCTCAGTTGCGGTAGCCACGAGTGAAATATGATAATTATTTTTGTGAACACGAGAATTTCATATGTCACTCGAGGCTGCGCCAACCGTGAAATATACATTTTGGTTCTTATTCGGTGACATATATTCAGATCTAACATTGAACCATCGTCGGATACCCACGATTGATAAACATGTTACATAACATGCAATCAAATGTTAATGGTTCGGCCGTGGGTATCCGACGATGACATTGAAGTAAACAAAGGTTCTTTTTATTATATGCAAAGAAACGTTTAAAAAGACATTTTAATCTAATGGTAAATGGAAAGTGTGCCAAATAATAATACAACGTGACGTCATTTAAGACATCACGTCAGTAAGTTTGTTTTCCTCCCACAAGATGAAAATAAATCCTTTATTTATAGGAAAAACTTGAATTATCTGTTTATAATATACATTTTGCTCTTGTGACATTACAATTTGAAAAAAAAACGTGTTTCAGCAAGACACCAATGAAAAAAACGGAACATTACTTCACAGTGAAACATTTTTTTTTCACAGTGAAAGTATGGAAAATGAAAGACACATTTTATTTCATCAATATTTCTCAATATTCTCAAGTATATAATAAAATTTTATACAACTCGTTCAATAAATTCAGTATTAAACTTACACTTATTCAATTTGATGTTTACAATACGAAGAATGCTGTCACAACACGTCACATAAGTGAAGCAGGAGGTTAACTTTCTTTTAACATCAATTGGAGTTAATCAGTTTCAGCACTAATGTGATGAAATGTTGTGTCAAGTGTTTGAAACTGTTTTTAGAGATTGTGTAATCCTCATTTTTAGAAAGTTTCAAACACTATTGTTAATTGAGGAACTTTGCAATAACTTTTATAAAGGACAAGTATCCTACTAATTACAGACATCTTAACATAGCTTAAAACAGTACGTTTTAGAAAGGTTAAACGTAAATGCAAAATAGGAATGAAGTAAAATTTATTTTACCTGGAATATCTAATCGTATATCTTGGCATGTTTTACAGCAAACTTTAAAGCTATTTCGACACAGTTGTAATGACATTCCTACACAATATGACTTTTTATCTCCATAGTCACAATCTAAAAAGAAATTTATCACATATATAAAATAAGATCAGTAAATTGTTAAAATGAGTAATTTTTTAATTGACTCGCCTATAGTGCAACGCTAACATTAGCGCGCTTTAATAACGCTATTTTTCTTTATAACACAAATGACGTCACGTCAAAGTGTTATTACACTAAGTGTAATATCGTTTTTATTAAATAGAGGATATTGAATGATTGTAGGTTTAATACTAAATTTATTGAAAGAGTTGAATAAAATCATATTATGCAAGCCTAATATTGTTTTATTCAACGAGTTCAATAAATTTAGTATTGAATCAACACGAATATAGAGAATAATAGGTTGGTGCCGTGGATGGAGAAAGTTTATCTGGCGAGGCGGAGGAATTTATTAGGTGAGCCGAAGGCGAACCCAATAAATTCCGGAGCAGAGCCAGATAAACTTTCTCCATCCACGGCACCAATCTATTATTCTATTTATCCTGTCACCGTTTTTTTAAAGAATTTTATTAGGCAAACTACCTTTAATCACTCTATCGGAAATGTTTCTATATAAAGAAAGAAGGCCCGAAGCGTGCTTTTTTCTACAACAATGCACTCGCCCTTCTTATTATCTCCCTTGAGGGCGCGCGCCATTTTGTTTGAAAAATGTGATAAATAAAAACAATTTTTTGTCGAATTTTGTTGTGAAAACTATCTAGAATGAAAGAAAATGGTCTAACTAAGAAAATGAATTCGAACACAAATATCTTTTATTCAGTCGTTGACGCTGTATAGACGTTTAAAGTATTGTTTACGTGACGTCACAATGTAGCGCTAAACAGCACGTGCAAAACAATCAAATCAAGTACGCTATTTTAATGTCGCAAACGAGTTAAGTTTTACATTTATTTCACTTTTAATAATTTTTATTTCGCTTGAAAAATTATAGAGTGAAATAAAATAAACAAACAAAGTTTTATCAACGTTTCCAAAATTCGTTATTCTACACACAGAAGATTTAACGACAGATTTTATATTTTCTTATTGAAAAGTAGTCCGGCCAACATGCATACCACGTGATCAAGTGCCGTAGAACAGTAAAAATATACGGCACCTTGTTATCGGGCCGAAATTGATACAAGTGACAGGATAAATAATATTCTATTTATCACATATATAAAATGAGAACAGTAAACTGTTAACAAGAGTCATTTTTCTTTGACGCGCCTATAGTGTAACGCTAACATTAGCGCGCTTTAACGCTATGTTTATAGTGCAAATGACGTGACGTCAAAGTGTTATTACACTAGTGTAATATCGTCTATTCTAACACGACCCGCAATTTTCCCTATTGAACATAGAAGAACCGAAATGTGTATTATTATGCAACAAAATCACTGTTGACGTTCTATATTAGACTTGTGACGTAATCATTATATACATGTGACGTAACTATTAAAAATGCGACGCGCTGACAATAAGTACGGAAAAAAATCTGGTGCAATTTAGCTTATTATAAGGTACGACAAGATTTATTGTTAATGTCGTGTTAGAATCGAAATAATATATCCAAATCGGTGATTGTATCGGTGTCGTTTGGATGCGCATCATAATATCACTCGGGCTACGCCCTCGTGATATACTTCCTCGCATCCGAACTCCAAACAGTGATGTTATTGAGCGATAAAATCACTGTTTGGGGTATATTATTTCTTAAGTGTAGATCTAATATCGTTTTTATTAAATGGCTTTATTACACTTTTTTTTGCGCCGCGGTTTATGTGATAAATGGCTTAATTACACTCCTGTGCCACGGTTTATGTGATAAAGAAGTTTATCACATGCTTTTCGGTGGTTTATAAAAATAAATTTCGCGACTCCGTAAAAATGGTATTGCAAGGACGAGCATATATTTTGACGTGATGTCATATGCGTTGTACAAACATGTAGCGTTAAGACACGTTAAATGTTGGCGTTATACTTTAGGCGCATCCATGAAAAATGTTACTTTTTACTTTAAACAGGTTTTATTTTTGGTATGTGACAAAAATATGATTATATCTGTGTAAGTTTATTGCTTTATTTATTGAAAAAATTATATTATGCGAGTTCCTCAATAAAGTCAGTATTAAACTTACATTCTAACACTCCACGTGATTTTGTCACTTTAGACAAAGAAGAAAAAAACCGGTGTTAAACTGCCAATAAACACTCGTTAGGGGCGGCTGTTATTTGTTCAACCTCGATTTTACACTTAACAAAACATTTTAAAGCAATGATAAACTAGAAATGTGTCCATAGGACACGGGTGCTCCACACTCCACTGTTTTGCCAATCTTACGACTTTAGGTCAAATATTTTTTAGGCTACATGTGCTTAATTCTCTTTGAGATATGTGCGACACAAGTTGAAAATTGCAAATTTTTACTAAGTCAAAAGCAATAAATCTAAAAATACTAAATATATCCACACAAAAATACCCAGGTGCACAACTACACATGCTAATCAACATTTCTATAAAGTTTCATGACACTAGGTCAAATACTTTTTGAGTAACGTGCGACACAAGTTGAAAATTGTAAATTTTTACTAAATCAAGGGCAATAACTTTAAAAATACTAAATATATCCACACGAAAATACACAGGTGCACAACTACACATGCTGATCAATATTTCTCTAAAGTTGCATGACTCTTGGTCAAATACTTTTTGAGCTACGCGCAACACAAAAGAGAACGGACGGATGGACGTAAAGACGGACAATGATAAATCTAAAGTGGGGGCACAAAAAGCATTTTTAATTTATATTTTCAGTTCTGATAATGTTTTCTTTTCATACAGTACCAAAATAATATCTCACATACACTAACACCAAGGATTTGATCCATATCAATTAAAATTTTGACAAAACGGCGCCAATCCTTAAGCAGCGTAATGACGTCATCCCAAGTATAAAACTCATTTATAAACGCTGACGAAATCTGCTCAAACGGTACCCTCTTTGCACATGCACAGGTCATATTCTCTGCTAAAAACAAACCAGCGATGGATAACAATCCAGTAAAATTTCAATTTAATTGAAAGAAATGGAGGTATGACACGTAGTTTATTACCCTTTATTACCCTTCCAGATTTTTTCCGCCTTTTTGATTGGATATTGATCACCCGAAAGAAATTGATATAACCGAGCCAGACGGGTAATATACACACTAAATTTCCCCGTTTGGTACCCAACGTTGTAAACAACATGCGCGGAGATGATGCGCGTACGGTTCGATTTTACGCGGTGTAAATTCCGATTTAAAAACACTTTTTAACTGTCAAATGATAAATATTTACCAAAGTAGAGTTATGATACATATTCTCATCAGTATTGAAAACAAATATGACATTGTGAAAGCTTGATATTAATTCCAAAAAAGTGCGTTCAACAGACTACTCCTTTTCTCTTGTTTACATTCGTCAGGTTCGAAAGAAAATACGTCATGTATTTATGTGACGTCATGTTGTGGTGAAGGGGTACCCTAAAGGGAATCTTATTTCGACGTTTCATTTGAAGTAGCAATGATTTATATTAAAATCGTCTTAACTCGGCAGGGGAATTGTAATAAAATTATTAACGGCTCGGGTGATATAAAATCTTAACAGGTAATATATCCACATATATCACTCCAAAACAAAATAACATATAATACCACGGAACAGTAGAATTTTTTATTTATGTGCTGATTTGTCATGTGCCCGTTTTTAATTTACTGCAACTTCACAATAAGCTACAAAAAATCGACATGCCTTGCCTCGCCCATCACCTCGACATATTTTTTCGGACTGATATGAACCTGTGGCTTGATTATATATGCATCATACATATTTAATGTCCATTTACATATATAATCATCATCAAACACATGGCTGTATATTGTCAAAAATAAATGTAAAATTCATAAAAACACCCTACTTTCGGCATTACAGCGGCAAGGGCTACCTCGCTTCATTTGAATTTTTATATCACAGGTACCCTCTCATTTTTTAACATAGGTACCCTTAAGGCACGACATATGCTTTTATTTGCGTTAATCGTTAACTATATGTAATATTTACATAAAAATAAGAAATATTAAATACCTAACGATTTTGTCTGCTTAAATATACCTCACAGTGACTAATTATGTATGTCTGCAATCGTTATTGAACAGTAGAAATGTACATCAAATGTATCATCATCTCCTTTGCATTACACGATAAACAATTTAGAAAATACATATGCGTCATTATATTTCTAATTACTCGAAGCGATGCGTTGATGACGTCAAACTGTAGTATTTTTTTTTTTTTTGAAAGGTTGTTTAGATTTATTATAACGTTTTGTCTTAGCAAATGACTCAATCTTGCTTCGTTTGTTAGAAATATAGTTTAATTTTGATATATCAAATTTTGAATATTTTTTGCCGATGGGCCAAAATCGACATAAAACGTACCTAGCCCTTCAATGAAAAGAATTATGAAAAAAAAAAACAAAAAAAAAAAAACAACAAAAAACAAGAACGTGTTTGTCAAACACAAATGAGCCGTGTCATGACAAAACCAACATAATGGGTTTGCGACCAGCATGGATCCAGACCATCCTGCGCATCCGCGCAGTCTGATCAGGATCCATGCTGTTCGCTTACCAACCCAATTACAAGTAGAGAAACTGATAGCGAACAGCATGGATCCTGATCAGACTGCGCGGATGTACAGACTGGCCTGGATCCATGCTGGTCGCAAACGCACTATGTTGGTTTTGCCATGACGCGGCTCAAATGCCCCCGGCTCCGATTCTTGTCAGTAGCAATATTACAAAAAATGTTTACCCATTCACTCAGTTATGGACAGAAACATTGCCAAAACATTGTAAACACAAGTTATATAGCTTGACAGAGTCATGGCATTTTGTAATTGTGAAATATATAAGTTGACAAGTCATTGCTATGACATGTGAAGTATTAACTTTATCAAATATATATAAATGTAAACAATCTATATGTGGCACCCTTGACCTTGACCCACTGACACCTATAGAATATCATGCAAGTTATATATTTCTACCAAATATGAAATACACCTGTCAATAAATAAAGGCTGTATTGGCAAAAATGTTAAAATCTATTTTGAGCATTGATGACCTTGACCAAACTGACCCCAACTCCATCCAAATGAAGAATACCATGCAAGTTATCTTCCAACCAAATATAAAATAAATCTGTCAATAAGTAAAGGTTGTAAGGGCAAAGTGTAAAAATTTATTTTTAGCACTTGTAACCTTGACCCAACTGACCCCTAACTCCATTCATAGTAGGAATTACATGCAAGTTATCTTCCTACCAAATATGAAATATATCTGTCAATAAATAAAGGCTGTATGGGCAAAAGTGTAAACATATATTTTTAGCACTAGTGACATTGACACAGTGATCCCTAACTCAATCAAAAGGAGGAATACCATACAAGTTATCTTCCTATCAAATATGAAATACACCTGTCAATAAATAAAGCCTGTATGGGAAAAAGTGTAAAAATCTACTTTTAGCAGAAGTGACCTGAGTGTAGGACAAAAGCCCTCCCGGAGAAAAGCCCTCCCGTCAAAAAGTGACAAGGTGGACAAAAGCCCTCCCGTGAAAATGACAAGGTGGACAAAAGCCCTCCCGTAAAAATGACAGGGCGGACAAAAGCCACCCCGTAAAAATTGACTTGGCGGAAAAAAGCCCTCCCATGAAAATAATGGGGCGGACAAAAGCCCTCCCGCAGCAAATACATATATGTATGTTGAATAGTTCATATTTTCTTTTCAATGCACTCAACATATTATATTAAATTTGTAATCATGAATATTATTATTTTCCATTGGCACAACCATGTTTGCATGAGCTTGAGCACATTCCTGAGAGGCATCTGAATAATTAGTGCTAAAATCTGTTAGTGTATATTTATTCACGTAGATATGAAGGATTACTCCTACATGAAGTTAATATTAATAGAGTAATAAATGATGGAAAGAAGTTAAAATTATCTAACTTAAAAGTTAAAGACATTTATAATGTGCCTTGTAATGAGTCAATTACTTTTAAAAGTGACTTTGTTTTCAACAACATTCGTGTTAAAAGTTACCTTGTTAAACATTTCAGGAAAGTATATTCAGAATAAAAGGTGGTTCTAGCTCATACACATACTTAGGCCAATTGAAAACAACAAGAAATATATGTAACAATTTTAATATGTTGAGTGCAATGAAAAAAAACACAGGTATTCAACATACATATTTATTTTTGTTACGGGACGGCTTTTGTTAGCCTTGTAAATTTCACGGAAGGGCTTTTGTCCGCTCTGTCATTTTCATGGGAGGGCTTTTGTCCGCCCTGTTATTTTCACGGGAGGGCTTTTGTCCACTCTGTCATTTTCACCGGAGGGCTTTTGTCCGCCATGTCATTTTTTGACGGGAGGGCTTTTGTCCGGCAGGGCTTTTGTCCGTTTTCCAAGTGACCTTGACCCACTGATCCCTACCCCAATTAAAAGGAAGATTACCATGCAAGTTATCTTTCTACCAAATATGTAATATATCTGTCAATAAATAAAGGCTGTATGAGCAAAAGTGTAAAAATCTATTTTAAGCACTAGTGACCTTGACCCAACTGACCACTATATCCATCAAATTTTATGTTCCTATCAATTATAAATGAAATTATAAATGACATCTGTCTATAGAATATGGTTAATACACCTGTAAAAATCTATTTTTAACATCGGTGACCTTGACATTGGTGACATTGACCTTGACCAAAATTACCTCTTACTATACCCAAAGAAGGAGGACCTCCCTTGGCATGTTTGTATTAAACATGAAAGACATCAACCAAAAAATAAAGGCTGTATGAGCAAAAATGTTTAAATTTATTTTCTACACCAGTGACATTGACCTTTGCCCTAAAGACCACTTACTCCACAAAAAAATTAAAGGACCATTAAAGGTATCCACCTACCAAATATGCAAGATATCATTAAATAAGTTAAGCAATTAAGAGAAATTTACGATAAATCCAACTTGCCGGAATAGGTTAACCAGACAAGGCCCTATTTTCAAAGTGGAAAAAGGGAAATAACTGGGAAATATGGATGACACAGCTATATTACTAGGCAATATCATGTACTTTGTATTGATAAGTATGTGTGGAAATTATGAAGCCATTACTATAGATAGAACTTAAGATATTTCCAACTTGCCGTTTTAGGTTAACCATTATTCATTTTCTAAGTGCTGAAAAGGGCAATAACTTTGTAAATATGGAAGCCATAGTTATGTAACTTGACAGGTTGAACTTAAGAAAAATCCAGCTTGCCGTTCTAGGTTAACCTCGTACGGACAAACAGACAGACAGACGGACGTTCCAACATTTTGGGTTTAGGGGCTATTTTCTTTGTTATTTTCTTTGTTTTCTTAAGGGCTACTAGCCCATTAACCCTTTGATCACGGAATAAACCTATTGTTCTATTTTGTTCTCTTTACTGTTATATAGCCCCTAAACCCAAAATGTTTGTTCGGACAGACGGACGGTTCAATTACTATATGCCCCGGGCATAAAAAAAAAAACAAAAAAAAAACAACACAAACGTAATCAATAAATTCAGGCCATCCAGTTTTTAAAACTATACAAAATTTGGCAAAAGTCAACATAATGATTATGCTCAAAATGAAAAGATAAAAATCGTCCTCTGACAATGACTAGACCATTTGAGCATTAAACAAGAGCCACCGCCGGGCGGGGGCAACGCTCTACTTTTACTTTCTCTAAAAGCAAACAAAGAAATGTTTGAACAGAATCTTAACGTTTCCGTTTTATAAATTTAATCTTGCCGTCTTGTATATAAATATATAGACAAAACTTATGTCACACCACCACGTGACACCATAACGTGTCACCAACATCACGTGTCACCACCACCACGTGTCACCACCGCCACGTGTCAACACCACCACGTGTCACAACCACCACGTGTTAGCACCACGTGTCACCACCACCACGTGTCACCACCACCACGTATAGAATTTTCTATTCATAGAATTGCGTGTTTATATTAAATTTGGAGAAAATAAACGTTCATACAGTGCTAAAGTATAAATACCCAAGTACTTTCGGCGTATTATGCCTTCATCAGGGGTGTATTACATGTATAATGTGCACACAATCGAGCACAAAATCTCAATACGTTTTTTCTGTATAGTATCAAAAATTGAACTGTTCAATTTTTGATACTAAACAGAACACACGTTTATTTTCTCCAAATTTATTGTTATTTTTTCCACGTTCTTGTATCCTTCTTGGGATCCAGTGTTTTTGAAAGGTATTTTGTAGATGCAAATAATTTTCACAAACCTATATATATATATATATATATATATATATATATATATATATATATATATATATATATATATATATATATATATATATATATATATATATATATATATATATATATATATATACACACAATAAATATATATTTAATGCACAAATCTGAGAAAATTCAGTAATTTAACCTTCAGGGTCAAGGTCATTAAAGAGCCAAAGTGTTTGATTAACAACAAGGTCTTGTCCTTAAGTATGTTCTGTTATAATATGTAGTTGATCCCTTCAATAATAACAAAGTTACAGCAAGTTGCAGCCAAAACAATGAAAATTTCATTAATTTGAACTTCAAATTCAAGGTCATTAATGAGTGAAGTCAAGGTCTGTCTGGTTATTTTTAAGGGTTATCCTTGAAGAGTGAGATGTTCAAGTTTGAAGACAATCCATTCAAAAATAACAAAGTTACAGCCAATAATAGCCAAAAAAAATGAAAATTTCAATAATTTGACCTTCAGAGTCAAGGTCATTTATGAGTGAAGATCAAGGTCTGTCTGGTTATTTTAAGGGATATCCTTGAAGATTATATTGTTCAAGTTTGAAGACAATCCATTCAAAAATAACAAAGTAACAGCCAATAACAGCATGAACAATCAAAATTTGGACTTTTAACATTGAAGGTCAAGGTCATTTATGGATGAAGGTCAAGGTTAGTGTTGTCTATTGAAAGGTCTTGTCCCAAGGGTTGTTGTGGCCAAGTATGAACACAATACACCAGGAAAGAAAAAAAGTTATGATTCAGGTACAAGTCTGTCTGCGGACGGGAACGTGAACGGCAACGCCGCTGCGACTAAAGCAATACCTCTACTTTTTTCCAAAAAAAAAGTCGAGCTAAAAAGCACAAAACATGATATCCTTAGCAACAAGAGCTGTCACAGGAGACAGCGAAGCTCCACTAACAAAATACTGGACCAAGTAAGGAAGACAAAACTATGAATAAAAAACTCAATTATGTATGATTAAGTATTTAATTAGATCTATAGTTAAAAAAATAACATTTGTTAACATAAATTCATAGTTCAAGAGAGTTAAATCTGAAAATAGTCTAGAGTTATGAACCTTGTCACATAAGTTAAGTAGAGTTATGAACCTTGTCACATAAGTTGTGGTTGACAATAATGTGCATACATTTGAAGTATGAAGTTGATCCCTTAAGAAATAAAGAAGTAACAGTAAAGCATAGTATTTTTTAAGGAAAATTCCAAGTTCAAGGGGAGATAAATCTGAAAATATTGTAGCTACAGTTATGAACTTTGTCACATTAGATTTGGTTGGTGATAAGAAACATATATTTGAAGTTTGAAGTTGATACCTTAAGAAATGAAAAAGAAATAGTGAAAAATATTTAACTGCACCAAAACTTTAATCTGAAATATGGACGCGACAGCGATTAGGACAGCTCTCCATATTCTTCGTATAGTCAAGCTAAAAACGCGTTATATATTGAGTAAATCATAGCAAAAACATACCTACATACGCCCTGTTAGTTTTCTTTATAGCTTCACAAGTAGCACAGCAGTCTTTCCTGATCGCTTCATGGTAACAATTGTAAGTTGTTGCAGGAGATCCAAGAAGATCGGAACAACCAGATGTTTGGTGCGGAACAATGTAAGGGGTATCTCCAAATGGGCACGCTTCTGCTCAACAAATGTTTTAACTTAATAGTTTGAGATGTACATGTACGTTTGTCAACAATATGGTTCCTACTTCACTTTAAAGGACATTGTATAAATATTAGAACAAAAATCAACAAAAAGCAGGCGTTGACACAAAACAGCCACTACGGCTGGTTACAGTGAGCACCGAAACAATGCGACGAAAAAAGTACCCTTATAAAACTCTTATTGCCATCTCATTTTCAGGAAGCTTTTGGCGGAAATTTAGGATTCTTATTTATCTATTATTATCTTGGGATGTAGGTTTCATTTCACTATAATACAAAAAAACAACTGAATTATCTAATTTCTTTTTGTAATGACAGAATGTATTCGCGACTTATTGCGATATCTCAGATTTATAGCATAAAATCGGCTATTTTTCCCTCTTTTGCCCATGTTATAACGAGACCAAAACCATGACGTGTTAACATAGTCACGCGCTCTTGTTATAGCCCGGTTTTACGTATGCGCAATACTAACAGGGCCCAGTAAACAAACAAAAAACTTGACGATCTGGCCTGTTATTGATTCGAGGGTCTCAATCACAAAACGGCGAGCAGCACACAAGTAACTATGCCGGAAATACGGCGTATGGACATCGCCGCTTATCTTGGTTGTCGCCCTTTCTAAGAAACGGACAGTTGTCAATGTAAACAAATATCTGCCATTCTAAAAAACCCTCCGATTAATTAACAAAACAAGATAACAAAAAACGAATATGAGAAAATGTTGTTTTATTAAGGTTTATGTTGATAAATGCTCTTTATATTTATTTGAGAGAATAATGTTTAGTGCCTGATTTTTTTATAAACTTGTGTGCTTGAAAAAAAAACCCAAACGATTCTGATGTCAGTAATCTTTTTTTACCCTCAATCTGAAATCATTCTAGGCTTATCTGAGGGTCATGTTTTTTCTTGGGTAGAGTAATTTACTTTTTTTCTTGAGTTGAAAAAGTAAATAAATCTCCAATGTTAAGCTTTGTTAAATCAATTAAAATTCGAAATTTCGTTCGGTTCTGAGCATTTGTATTTCCCAAGTTGTTGGTAACGGAAAAATAAACGCATACATAAAACATTTATAATTGGTTTAATACCGTCCGAACACAAGGATTTAATTATGTATTAAATATGTTTTTAAATTGTATGCTATAATAGCGTCAACGCACGTTTATTTCGTGTTATAAAGTCTGCAGAGTCCCTCGGAACTGTTTGAGCCCTCGCCCTACCGGGCTCGGGCACCAAACGTTCCTCGGAACTCTGCAGATGTTATAACACGGAAAAACGTGCATTAACCCTATAAAAGCATACTTCTTTAGAAGAAAGTGTGCGTTATTTCAAAATCACAGTTATCTAAGTACACCTGGAGTTGGTTCATGTATAAGCCTGACCGAAGGCAATAAGGGTCACTGGACGGTACTAATATTTGGCCTGGAAAAACAACGGATATATTCAGATTGGGGAAAAATAATGGGGTTCTGTGGATATGGCTGTCAGTCTGAAAAAGTTGTCTTGGGCTTGAACGTACTTGTTTCTAAATCCTTTTTCAGGAACTTAATTTGGTGCAAGGAGTCACTGCCTGTATAAACATTTTCAGGAAAAACTTTCAATGTCAAGTCCCTGAAAAAATAAAACAATAATCGTTTTCATCGAAATAGATTTTAAACCCATCTTTAGTTATGCCTATTAAAATGATGATCAAGCCGCGATTTGCGTAATACTGGCAAGTCTCAATTATTTACAGAAATGTTTTTTTTGTGTCTGTGGTCATCCAATCGATCAGGAACACCAAATTTACTTCAGATTGGCTCTTACGTTAAGGGGTTTACAGTCTTAAAACCCCTGTCAGACTAGGGAGTCGTTCTCACGGCGTCCAAAAAAATTAAGAACGCCGAGTTGAGTGGCATCGCATAGAACGCCAACCGACGGCGCACATTTTGAACATGCTTAAAACAAACGCGTCACTTTGCCTTCTAATAAGAGCGCAGTTGGATCGCAGTAAGGACGCCGTAGCATCTCAGAAGCATCTCTTGCAACGCAACAGGAGCGCCATGAAAGCGTAATAGGCACACCGAATGAACGTAGAAGTTATTCATGGCGCTTGTACGGAGATTGTGCGGCGTCTCTACTGCGCTTATACTGTGTGTGCACGGCGCCTTTACGAAGCTTTTTTGTATTTCAGTGTGAGCGCCGTGTAAGCGCCGTAAAAGCGCAGTAGAAGTGATCCCCTGAGTTAAAAATAAAAACTATTATAGAAGAAGAAAAAGTCACACCATCCGATCTTATTTCCGTAACTTACGGCAAATTTATATTTGACCAGGTTTTGAGTAATATTAGCGACCGCCATTTTTAAAAATTGTGTATTTAACGGGAGGTAAATAATTGTGTTTGATTCAGAGGAATATTAGGATTTGTTAATCATACATCAATTTATAAGAAAGGAAACTTATTTGAAGCACTCTGACCAAGTCTCATGACAGGTGAGTCAAAAATGTGACCACTACAGTGTTAACAAGGATTATCCATATTTCAGCAGTGCAACCTAGTTTTTTACCCAGGTGACACATATTCAAACTTGACCTAGAAATCATCAAAACAAACTTTCAGACCAATTTCCAGGATACTTGGATCAAAACAGTAGCAACTAGAGTGTTCACAAGATTTTTCTATTTTTAGCTCCGGTGACCTAGTTTCACATGTGATTTCGAACTCATCCAAGCAATTACCTAGACAAGCATCCTGACCAAGTTTGATGATGATTAAGGCAAAAATGTGACCGCTAGAGTGTTAACAAGGTTTTTCTATTTTAAGCTCCGGTGACCTACTTTTTCATCATAGATGACCCATGTTCAAGCTCACCCGAGCTATCCCCTAGACAAACATCCTGACCAAGTTTGATGAATGTTAACAAGGTTTTTCCATATTTGGCGGTGTGACCTAGTTTTTCATCCAAGATGACCCATGTTCGATCTTGACTTAGAAATCATCAAAACAAACTTTCAGACCAATTAACAGAATATTTGGATCACAACAGTAGCCACTAGAGTGTTAACAAGATTTTTCTATTTTTAGCTCCTGTGACCTAGTTTTTCATCTAAGATGACCCATGTTCGATTTATTCCCAGCAATGACCTAGACAAGTTTCCTGACCAAGATTGATGATGATTGATGCAAAAATGTGACTTCTAGAGTGTTAACATGGTTTTTCTATTTTTAGCTCCGGTGACCTAGTTTTTCATTCCAGATGACCCATGTTCAAACTCATCCGAGCTATCATCTAGGCAAACATCCTGACCAAGTTTGATGATGATTGATGCAAAAATGTGACTGCTAGAGTGTTAACAAGGTTTTTCTATTTTTAGCTCCGGTGACCTACTTTTTCATCCGAGATGACCCATGTTCGAACTCATACGAGCTATCACCTAGACAAGCATCTTGACCAAGTTTGATTATGATTGATGCAAAAATGTGACCGCTAGAGTGTTAACATCTAAATGTGAACGGACGACGGACGGACGACGGACAATCATCGATCCTAAAAGCTCACCCTGAGCATGCTCAGGTGAGCTAAAAAGCGGCTAGTCATTAGGAAAACATGGAATTGTTGAAAGGCTGTCTTACGAACGCCGGGTTGTTTACTTTTTCTTCGGGCTGATGATTGTCATTGCTTTTAAAATTTTTATATTGCATTAGTTATTTACTTAAATATGCCCAAATGTAATCAAGAGCAGTTTTGCATATGAACGGAAGTGTATTTTTCAGACTGTAAAAATGAAACCAAAATGTAGACACGCTATTTGGTCATTGGTAATTTGAATGAAGCGAAGTAAGATTTTTCTTTTTATTCCTTACAGCTTTGCTTTCTCTAAACAACCCTTACATTTCAGAATTGTAAGCAAAAATAAAAGTGAGGTACCACATGGGGAACATCTTAAACAAGAGCTGTCACAGGAGACTACGAAGCTCGACTAATAAAATACTGGACGAAGTAAGGAAGAAAAAACTATGAAAGAAATATCAAGTATGTATAATTATGTATTAAACTAACGAAAAAAAATATTTGTAAGCATAAGTTCCAAGTTCAAGGGGAATAATTCTGCAAATAGTCACGCTAGAGTTATGAACCTTGTCACACAACATGTGTGTAATGATAAGAAATATATACATGTATTTGAAGTAGATACCTTAAAAAGTAAAGAAATAGAGGATATTTGTTTGTTTGGGTGTAAGATGAAATTTTATTTAATCGAGTGAGCTTTAAAAATTTAAAGTTCACGCGATGAAATTAAATTTCATTTTACACAACAAACAAGTTTTCTTTTTATTTTATGCTTAAAAACAACTTAAAACGAAATTTCCTTGATATTAACTTCAATATTAAAATTTGTTTGCCCCACTGGTAGCCTCTTTTATGTGCATGTATTAGTCGAATTTCTCATAAAACACAAGAAGCCTTGGGTTCAAAAATAAGTTCGATAATCAACGTTAAATGTCTCTGATATTATTCATTTTTTTTTTAAAAAAAAAGGTGAATGATCGCTTGTTTTAATAATAAAAACAAACAATTCTGTTAAGAGAAAAAGTCCACCCATCCATTATATTTCTGTTTTAACTGCGAATTTATATTACACCTGGCTCTGTTAAATGTAAGCGGCCGCCATTTTTAAAAGTTGTGTATTTCACGGGAGAAAAATAATTGTGTTTGATTCAGAGGAATATCATTTAGATTTGTTAGTCATACACCTTTTTAAAAGAAAGAAAACTTATTTGAGAATTGTATCATACAATATATAAATGTTGACAGATGTGTAAACATTAAAAAAAAAATGGCTAGGAAATTGGAAACTTGGAATTGTTCAAAGGCTGCAGCACGAACGCTGGATTGTTTTTTTATTCTACGGGCCGATGGCTGTCATTGCTTTTTAAGTTTTGATAAAGCATACGGCAGTTATTGCTCGTAGGATTATGAAGTATGCCCAAATG